CTGCCTCTGCCTCCCGAGTGCTGGGATTAAAGGTGTGCACCACCAACGCCCAGCTCATTTTCACATACTTTTAACTTCGAAACATTCAATGGTCAATGATATATTTTTTGATTTTTTTAATGAAAAAGATTCCCTTTTGTTCAAATGAAAGCTGGTTACCCAGTATGACTATTTATTTGAATGCTCAGTGTTTCCTATATTTGGTCACTTCTTTCATTAAAATTTGGCAATCTGTCTTCTGTCCCTAAACTCGCAGTACCTATGCCCAACCATTTCATTAAACTGAGATATGTAATCTAACAATGCCTATTCCTAATTTCATCTAGCAAATGCAAAATTCTTTCTCTACTCACAAATAATTGAGAACAAAGTTTTGCTTCTTATGTAAAATTCTGGCTTTCCATATAAAGAACCTGAGAAAAGCAAGCAAGCTCTACAATTTCCAACCCATGTTTTCTTTTACTGCTTTTGCAACTAAATGCAAACACACATTAGCAGGGCTGGCTAGCTCATCTGTAGAAGAATGAAAAACTAATAAAAATATCTAATTGTCTGAAGCCTTCTGAAGAAGTCAGTGAGAGCTTCCTTCAATTTTCATTAAAATATGTAGATTTACACATGGAACACATGCATTTGCAATTTCTTTCACATGTGGAATCCTTCTTGACATCCTACCTTTATGAATTTTCCATTCTTGTCAAGTGTTTCTATATCCAGGGAGAGCTATGACTTAGTGTGTGCTACTTCTTAATATCCCTCTCATTTTAAATTACACTGCATATTTGAAAACTGCTGCAGCTTCAACTGTGCTAATCATATTATTATCAGAACTGGAGAGATCTCCTTGTATGGAACAAAAGGGAAAGAATTCACAACTACCACAACCTAAGCACCTGTTTCAAGTTAAAGTATTAAAAAATGAGGGTTTTTTTGTTTGTTTTTTTTTAAAAGGGAGAAAACTAGATGAAGGCACTAGTTGGTGTTTTTGTTTGTTTTGTTTTATTTATTCCTGGAGAAGTCTTGCTGGACAATTGTAACTCAACCTTTACTTTATATATGAGTCTGAGAAATGGAACAATAGAAAAGCCTTCTTTCCATTCCAAACCATGGAAGCAATATGTAGAGAGACATTCACATTCCACTAGGAAAAGTGGATGGATGAAAGAATAATGAGGATCCACTGAGAAGACAACATGAAACTTCATGCCCAGTCCTGAGTTCAGGATCTTTTTTTAAGGTGAAGATACAGGCAAAGATGAGGAAAATGGGCATCTTATATGATACATTTCTTCATATGATCTCAAAGGGGCATCCAATGTTGGGGTGCACTTCTGGGACCCAGAAGCCAGCTGTCAGGGGATGCCTCATGATGCCATCTTTATGGAGATTACATCTTTGTTATAGAAGAAGAGGAAGAAAAAGAAGATAAAGGAGAAGAACAGGAAGAAAAAGAAGAGGAACAACAAGAAAAAGTCTCAACTTCGTACTTTGTATTTAGCATTGGATTAGAGTGACAGTATGTCTTTGGCAGATGTTGCCAGAATATGTAGGTTTTCAAAAGCAAATATTCAGGTGAAAAGGACAGAAAATAATAGTTTAAAAAACGTTGTAGAAATTGAACCCATCTAGTCAAAATACAATATGACTTAAGGAATATGGGGAAACATATCAAGGGAAAGGAAAATAGAGGACTGGAAGGCATAGCTAGACTATGGCAGCATCCAAGCAGGACCCAAGAATAGTACAAATTAAAATTTGCTTTGGTTACAGACAGGCAACTCTCCTCCCCCCAAAAGTCCACTTGTGTTTCAACATAAACCAAATGTTTATTCCTTTCATGTGTAATTATGTGCAGATCCTAAATGGTTTAGGATTAATGTTTTCTGGGAGATGTAAAATTCTTTATTGACAAGTGACACATTTCATTATCTAAATTACTCACCACTTGTTGTGTTAGCAACTTTTTATATAGCTGAATGTAATATAAACATTAGCATGTTTTCTGTAATGTCTTAATCAGTATTAAAAGACCTAAATGTTTTTACTGGCTATAAAGCCATCCTATTTGAACTATTTAATAGAAAGGATAACACAGGACTTGCTAAAAATCTTTAAAAGATTTTGGCTATGTGGTTCATTTGGTGTGAGCACCAGGATACAGACGGTGGAAGGAAAGAACTGACTCCTGGAAGTTGTCTTTGGTTATAAATACCAAGGGATCTTTACATTCATATCCATGCATACACTCAAAACAGATGTTTGTTTTTAAATTTTATGAAGAAAATAAATGCAATTTTCCCACATTTCTATTTACTAATATATTATATATACGTAATATAAATATATTATTATATTTCAATGAATTCATTTTTAGCATTTTTTTAAACATGATTAGAATGTCTGGGCAGTGGTGGCACACACCTTGATACCCTGCACCTGGGAGACAGAGGCATGCAGATCTGTATGAGTTCAAGGCCAGCCTGTGAAGTGACTTCCAGGACAGCCAGGACTACACAGAGAAAGTCTGTCTCAAAATCAAAACAAACAAAATATGAATAGAGTTCACATCCCCAGAACATATGAGACTGATAAAAAATACAGTATAGTCCTGACTCAAGTAAGCAATGAATAAAACTAACTGATGGAAAATCAGTCACACTTCATGAAAATCATCAAGGAGGGGTTTGTACCTTGCATGAACCACAGTCTCATGAAGCTCAGGGACACTTTCTCCTTAACTTGGTCCATTTCTTTCCCATTTGTTGGTGCTGTGTAGGGAAGGGCTCAGAGAATGATTAGGATAGGAGAACTATTTTTGGTATTGCTGCCAATGTCTTCTCAATCAAGGTTCAAGTGGCAATTATGCATGTTCTTTTATAAGTTGTTTTCTATCTTTCATTGACAAATAATAATTACACATATTTAGGACTTACAATATGATTTCAAATTTGGTATACATTGTGTAATAATCAAATCAGGCAAATTACTCTATCCATCATTTGCTTATGCAATTATATATTTGATTATATCTATTTTAATTCTTGGAACAATTCCCATATTCAGATGGATTAGTGGAGTGTTTCTTGTTATAAGAAACACCAGTAATGTTTTCCCCTTCTTCAAAATCCAACCTTGTCAATTTTCACAATGTAAACAAAAAGTTACAGAAAGCAGTCATGGTAGCTTATAAATCATTCTAGATAAGTGGATTATTGGGAATATAGCATAGGTGTATAGTTTATGTCCATCTAATCTGCTTTGTTAATGTGTTTGCTATAGTTAATAATATCCTGCTCTAATTATCAGCAAGCGTATAATCTATAGAGCTTTTGTTTGTATTCTGTTTCCTTAATTAACAAGGCTGACGGTGAGAGCTGAATGCCCAATGCACTTGGAAGACTTCCCTATGGATGCCCATGCCTGCCCGCTAAAATTTGGAAGCTGTAAGTAAATTTACTTCAAATTATGATTATTCTTATATGGGATCTATGAACTTAAGCAAGATGTTTCCAATTAGTTATGGTCTGTTGGAAAGTCACAAATAAATCAAGAACATTCAGACAGCAATATAAGAGTTGCCTACGAGCAGTAGCCTTTATGTGTTGTTTTATTTTTACTTAAAAAAAGACTTTATATTTATTTTTGTGTATGTGTGTGTGCCTATGTGTGCTGGCTAATTTTATGTCAGCTTACACCAAGATACACTTATCTGAAAGGAAGGAACATCAATTGAAAAAAATGCCTCTGTAATATCCAGATTTAAGACATTTTCTTAATTAGTGATTGATGGATGTTGGTGCCATCCCTGCTCTGGTTGTTCTGGATTATATAAGAAAACAGGCTGAGCCAATGTCTGCTGTGGTGATATTTTGTTGTGATCTAACAAATAAAGCTTGCCTGAAGATCAGAGTGCAAAGCTAGCCACAGTCATAGAGGCCAGTTAACTCTTAACTGTGGTGACACACAGTTTTAATCCCAACACTTGTAAGACAGGCAGACGGATCTCTGTGAGTTCAAGGCCACCCTGAGCTACATGAATCTAAAGGAGAAACAGAACTCACACAACAGTGATCTCAGTATTTAGGATCCCATGCCTTTAATCCTAGCACTAGAGAGAAATATAAGGCAGGAAGAGACAGGAGCTGAGTACGTCTGAGGAGCAGTGCAGTTGGGAGCAGTCTGAGGTTAGGTGGCTCTCCCCTTCTGTCTGAGCGTTGGTAGAGGTGAGAACTCTCTAGTGGCTGGCCGCTTTGCTTCTCTGATCTTCAGCTTTAACCACCACCCCCCCCAAAAAAAAAGCAAAAAGAAAACAGGCTGAGCAAGCTGTGGGTAGAAAGCAGTAACAAGCACTCCTCCATGGCCTCTGCTTCAGCTCCTGCCTCCAGGTTCCTGTCCTGTGTGACTTCCCTCAGTGATGGACTGAGGGACACGTAAGCTGAAATAAAACATTTCCTCCCCAGGTTGCTTTGCTCATGGTGTTTCATCACAGCAATAGTATTAACTCTAGCAAAGAGACTATTTGAATGTACATCATGCATGTGTGCACGCCTGTGGAGTCCAGGGGAGAACATCAAATCTCCTCGAGTTGTAGTTACACTTGGTCAGGAACTGTCTAACTTGTATGTAGGGAGCCAAACTCAGGCTTCTGAGAAAAGCAGTGCACACTCTTCACTACTGAGATGTCTCTCCAGGTCCCATCCTTTCTTTCTAAAGAAAATAGAAACCAGGATTAAACCATCTAGTAGAAAAACAGCATTTTTGGAAAAGGGGAAAGAATCTTGAATCTCATAGATACATTTCCATCCCAATAAAAAGGGAATTGCCATATTTTCTTTACAATATTCTGACAAGATTTTAAGAAAATATTCATAAGTGGCCAAAGACAATGTGTAGGTGTTTTTTCTTGATAGAGGCATATTAAGGAGATACCTAGAAAATAAATCATTGTCATTATCATCTCTAAATTTTTCAAGGTCAGTATGACCCATGGAATTCTTGAATGTATTTACCCTTTTGTTTCCATTTTATTGTATTATAGACACATCTCCATTGTGTCAACTTTACAGATCTATAATGTTTGAAATAATCAAGGAGTACCTTTGGGGAGAAAAGGGAACTTTAGGATGTATAAGTAGACCTTCTGAGCTTCTCTCTCCTCTTCTATTTCTGACTATAATGCATACATGGAGTGAGGATAATGTATTCCTGGCTTCCTGCAGGGAGGGGTTCAGACAGGGACTGAGTCAATCCTGGTTTACCTAACCAGCTTACTTTTCCCACTAGACAGACAGACTGAGCAACTATTTTGGTAAAATATGATTCATAGAAGAAAAATAGTGATAGTGTGGGATGATAGCAAGCAAAGAAAATAGCAAAGGGCTTTCATGAGCCTAGCAGCTCTAGTGATGGGGAGACATTCTTCTCTATTTATAGATCACATTCTATCCTGACGACTCAAGATTAATCTCCTCCAAACCTTCCAGATAAACAGGACTTTGGGAGAAGACTGGCTTTTTCTACCCCTTTCTTGTACTCTTTACATGGTGGACCCTCCTGTTTTTCTCCTGAGTGGCAGTTTCATTTCTAAAAGGGGTGCTATTATTTGCTACTTGATTATCAAATAGTGCATCAAACATATGATTCATTATAAGTTCTCCAAGTCTACAATGTATCCTTAGGAGGAAGAAGATCACCCACTATATTGTTCCTGAGCCAGTACTGATCCATCATCACCATCACAGTATTATTATCAGTAATGTCCCTAGAAAAGTATTTTATTCCCAAGTTCAATTAGGCTTCAAATGTGTTCTTATTTGGTCAGTGAATTACAGTTTCCTTTACAATAAGATTTGCTTCAGTAGTATGGACAGTTAAAGAAAAGGGGCCACACACCTTCATATAAAAGTATGAAGGTCATTGTTGGTTAATGTCTGCTTAGTTCCACATCTTAACAAAGGGTAAGGAACTTCTATACATGAAGTTCCTCAACACAGAAGGGCATCTCAAGTACTTGCATTTGCTTTCAGGGAGATGGCAAATTGTCGGTATGGCGAATAAGAAATTAGTGGCCACACAGATCAAAGCTTTTCCTAAAATCCTAAGCATCATCTACCTACATCTCAGTATAATGAAATGTGTTTTATTTTGCCTATGTTCTCACAGTAGGTTGAGCAGAATATATTTTCATATAGACACATTTTCATTTGAAGGATTTGGGAAATATTTACAAAGAAAGATATGGATCATGAGGAGAAAACAAATGGTGTATTGTATGAAAAGAATGAAATTAAAGAAAAGTGTATAAAATAGCTTCCCACCTGGGTGTTTTGCTTGTGATCTTTCTATTCAATATTTATTGAATGATGAAAGATTATACTACCCAGGTTTTAGGCACCATTTTGCTTTTTAGAATTTGAAGTTCTGAAGTTCTGAGGAAAAAGTATGAGGAATGAAAGGAAAATGTGGAAACCTGGGCATTAAGGCTTGTAACAGGCACTGTAACTTTATTTTACAGTTTCTCTCTTGACATTAAATCTAGGTTTGCATGCAGTACTAACACTAGTCTATTTCATAACCTCAACCAATGCCTTTTGTTTTTACCATTTCTTGCTAGGGAATATGATTCCTTTAAAATCATTTCCTAAAGTACTTGATTAAGCAGTTGAAGACATTTGCCAGCTTTGATTTCCATATATTTAAGAATTATCGATTCTTGTACTTTCCTTCTGTCTTCTCTACCACAAAACATCAGCTTGCATCAACGGAGTGCATTCTTCACTTAGGGAAATTACAAGGAGAAGCCCTAAGTAATAATTGTTGTAAACCTTCACTGCACATAGAAGAGGGCTTATATATGTTCATCCACCATGGTACTTCTAAAAAGATATGCACAAGGCGCTAAAGATAGTATACTTTTCCTGCTATAGCTATATTAACATTCCAGAGACAACTCAAGTTATAAAATGATACCATTCAGCCACTGTTGCCAACAACTATACAATATAGTAGCAGGAGATTTAGCTTGTTCCAAAATGGCATGAGCTCTAGAATTAGCTTCCTTCACATTTACAGAACTCCTTATGTGCAAAGTGGACTTTTTTTTCAAGAAGAAATATTTCAAATGAGATGGAGCAGAATGAATAGCATTTTAAGCTTTTATCTCTCTTTCCCCACTAAATAGAGGCAAGCCTCGAGGCAAGTATTTGGGCCTGTGCCCCAGCTTACTGTCTATAAAATGTGGTGAAGCATGTGGCCATTGCTGAAACACTTTTCTCTTTTACCCACTGAAAATAACCACAAGAAAATAAGGAAATATTTGAAATCTGTGTGGCCAAATTCTAGATTATTCCTTTGTGTCAGGATACATGAAAATATTTTCTCCCAAACTTCTATATAAGTTTTGTCAAGAGATAACTGGTATAAATTAACTTATAAATGATGATGGAGAATACAGGATGTCTCCACATGATAGGGAAGCAAGATATCAGTTTTCCCTCATCACTCCACTCAGAATAAAGTGACATTCCAAGTTTGGTTTCAAAGTCCGCATATGATTTGCAGATACCATAATTTTCATGTAAAAGACAACCATAATTTAAAATCTTACAATATTTTAGCTCGGACACATACATATTTGTACACAATTCTCAAGCCTGAGTCTGAAGGTTATATTGCACAGATCAGTGTTAACAATTTCAATGAGCTCTAAGCATTTTCATCTTTTGGGGGGTTCATTTCTTCCAAACATAATTCAAATTATAGTTTATAACTGTTGGTATAAAGATGAATACATGCCAGTTTAGGTTATATTGATCTTAGATCTTAAATAAATTAAAACCTTTTCATAGCCTTCTGAGAGTGGTTTGGTCCCTGGGAGGGGTGCCAAATGTGACTAATGGATGAGTTGGCTGTGTGCCAGTGAATCAAGCTTGTATCATAAGGCCAACCTTTGTTGTCAGGCCCTCCTATCAAATAATCTAAAGCACTTTGCTTTTCCTCATCTGACACTCCTTAAAATGTTAACATCATTGTGCATCTAAACAAAGGACAGCATTGCAACCCATGTAAAGTGGATTTTTCGTGACTACAAAATAGAAATTCTATGAAATCTTTTCTTCCCTCCTGCAACCTTCTTTGCCTCCCTCCAACTATCCTTCCTCCCCCCTCACTTCCTTCTTTCCTTCATTTCTATCCACTCCTCTCTAATCTGAATGGATTAAGGATTTATGAACCAGATTCTCATATGGGAGATTTCTTGACTAACTTGGCTAATGAAAATGAGTGAGAAGGAAGATTTTGTAAGGTAACTTAACAGCATCTTCAGCAGAAGCAGCATGATTGTAAATATCTATATAAATTATCATTTTAAGAGGATGTCAGTGCAAGCCTCTTCTCCAAAGCCTCTGCAGCAACACTTCTGGTGTTACTTTTCCCTTAAATGTAAACTTCCCAGGCTCAACATTATTTGTACACAGGGTTGTTGTTTCTAATCTAACTTTAGGTCTCATGCTTTCTACTATGGATATACTAATCTTTTTCAACTGAGGCATGCCTTTGAAATAAAATACCCAAACAACAACAACATTGTCTATTGAACAAGTTCTTTCTTATTACCTCTGCTCTGCCCATCTTTTCTTTTTTGGTCTTACATTTATAAAAGTGTTGACTTTGAGCCTCTCCAAGCCCTTTCCATACCTAAATTCAGGCCTTCTCCCACCAACCTATCACCCAGAGTGCATAGCTTTATGGCATTAAACATTCAGTGTAATTATATCTTTATTTGGATGTCTGTTTGTGTCTCTATTACACCACTGTAAACCACATAAAGCAAGCAACCTTGTATATATCTATTATTGCAACAGCTGAACAGTGCTGTATCCTTTGTATGTGCTTAACATGTTAGGAGTGAATAAATTATTGAAAGAAAACCTCAGGAAAATGTGTATTTATAGTACCAAGCAACTGAATATGAGCTTTCATTTTCTAGCTTGTCATCTGCAACAATGTGGTAGGAAATATGAAGCTGATGAAGCAATCAGCTCATTAGTAGGAGCAAAGAGGCAGGATGCATAACTATGCTCTTTTTTCTCTCTCAGATGCTTATACAAGAGCAGAAGTTGTCTATGAGTGGACCAGAGAGCCAGCTCGCTCAGTGGTAGTGGCAGAAGATGGGTCACTCTTAAACCAGTATGACCTTCTTGGACAAACAGTTGACTCTGGAATTGTTCAGTCCAGTACAGGTAAGTTCCATTTTATTATTCTGAAGATAATGAGATGAAAAGAAAACATGTATAGTGAGAATGTAAGAATCTGTAACTCTCCCAAGCAACTGAAAAATCAGAAAAGGGTTAAACTCTGTGCCTAGTGTTTTATCTGTTTAGCTGCTAAAATATTTGTCAAGCTAATAATTATTTTTACACACATCTTACAGAATTTTAATTTATTCAATGCACTTTAATTGTGATTTTAAAAAAGTGACCTAGTCATGTACAAAAACAGTGATGCTAATTTTATCAAGAAACCACTAATACCACAACCACCACCAATCTATAAACAACAAAAACCTTCTGTTTTCATATTTCATTTTGGGACCCTAAGAATGTTAACATTTTCAAATAATACATCAATCACTTAGTTTTTACAGGTGTCTTTTGGTTGTTTAAAAAAATCACCACTTCCTTACGGGCTAAAATAGTTATTTTTCTTGTTTGATAAGATGAAGACCTGACCTCAGTTTTTCCCCTTATTAGAAATGCAGCAGCATGTTGGAAAGTCTGCCTATCTACCATGAAACAGATGTCCATCAGCACCCTTTTGCTGCCACCAAAATCTTGGGGATGTTGGGCCAGTTCTTTCTCCAGACAGAAATTTTTCCTAAGGAATCAGCATAGCATGCATTTCATGAAAGATGAGACAGTGGTTGGGGATCCAACTTAATGTGAGGACACACTTGCAAGACATGCATCGGTGTCTGGGTTCTATCCTCATACCAAAATCGATAACAAGAAGTGGGGTAGAGCTCTAGTATAAAACACTGTGGAACAATATTACACAGTAGATACTCAAATTATTACACAATGACTGTTGCTCCAGCACTAAATCCTCCTCCTCCTCCTCCTCCTCCTCCTCCTCTTCTCTTACAACATGTGCTGAAAAGATACCCAAAATAACTCTGTTTACTTCTTTAAAATGAATGTTATGATAAGTCAGGTATCATGACTGGCACAGGAGTTTCAATGATGGCCCAGCACAGACCTTGTTCTTGTGGAAGGTGAACTCTGGAGTTGATGCACACATAAACTATAATTATGGGTGCAGAGTGCCATGTTAATGCTTTTGTGAGGGCAGAGATCATGGCCATTTTCTTTATCCTACTATTTTCTGGAGTAGCAATGGCAGAAGAGGGATTGAATAAATATTTTGAGTAAACAAGGGACAAATGTAGCTTAGGTTAATTGAAAGGTTACTACAGGAGATAGCTTTTCATGTTGACAATGTATACCTCTGTTGTAAAACAGTAGCCAATATTCTACGTCCTATGCATTTATTATCATATACAGAGACACATTTAATCTTTTATAAAGAGGGGTTGTGATATCAAGGAGACAATTCCATTATAGGAATTCACATGGAATAGTGTATACAAGTCTGGAAGACCATTTGGAGAAAAAATGAATCTACTTTAGTTCTATCCTTAATAACTGTGACCATACCCTCTCCAGGTTGACATACTACGTTTTTAAACTTAATAGTTTTGTGAAATGACCTTGTGCTTCCTAAGCAGTCATGCCAACAAAATTCCAGTTATTCAGAGAAGAAAATATAATCAAAAAAGAAAGATGGACTGAGGCAAGGAGATAAAAGTTCAACACTTGGGTCACTGAACTGGTCAACCCCATAGAGTGGACTTACTTGGAATAGACATTCTATAATTGAACATTGAGTATACTAACAAGAAGAGGTGGTCCCCACTTATTATTAAATACTGGGGAGCAGAGGGAATGACAGCGAATTATCAAATAGAAAAGAACAGTGTAATGTTCATTTTAAACACTTTAATGAGAAACCAAATTATACATCCTGTGAGCCCACTTGAGCTCACCAAGAAATCCATCTCTGTGGGTTTCAGAGAAAAGCAACAAAGGTTTTTTGCAAGGTTGTCAGTGCTGTATTTTATACCTCATTGTGGAGGCCTGAAAATGTTAAGATAGATGACATTGAGTGCAATTACTTCACTGTTCCTGCCAGGGGACCAAAGAATGATGGCACTAGAACACAAAACAACAGTAACTAGATAGAAAAAAGTATTTGTCCACCTTAATATCCTTTGAGGAGCCCAGTCAATTCTAGATGGCTTTTACAATGTTAGAAAGTGGTATCCTGCTTGCCTATAAACACACATCATGCAATCCAGTGATAAAATTCAGGTCCAAATAACTCTATATCATTTCAGTGATGTGAAAAAGAGAAGGGTAGAGATACTACCACAATATCTGAATTTTTAGGTCAGTGATTACAGGCCATATGCAGAAAATTGCAATAATTGCATTGGCCACTAGTACAAGAATAACATCAGTATCCAGAATAGAATAAGAAAGTAATTCAATGAATGATTTTAAAATGTTCAAGGATAGCTTGATATTGTCATGTTTTTCAAAGCAAGTTTTATCACAGGGCATGTTGGTAAGCTTGCAAAGTGAGTTGTTTCTTCTGAATTACTATCTTTTATCCTTAGAAAAATGACTAAGAAAATTGTGGAATCACCTTTCTTACATAAGGAGACTTTTCTGTGTTTTGTCTGAAAGATACCCTCCAAGGTTAATACCATTAAGGATCATCTTCTCTCACTGTGGATTGAAGTGTGATCAATATCCAGGGCTCCCATCTGTAAGGCCTAGTGCATGATCTCCAGAGAAACGACTTCTGTGGTTTTCTAGTCAACTAATTCATATTTTGAGAAGAGAAAGGATCTAGTTAGGCTATGAGTGCTATTATTCATTCATGCTTTCTTATTTTCATGGAATGTAGAAAAATTCATATGGACTCAATGTTCAATAACATTTTACAAGTTGACTGAGGGCTAATTTCCCAAGCCAGAATGAATATATATCTAGTGCTCTATTTTTGCACTATAAATCTATGTAAGATTTAGGATTATACATACTGTCACACATGCTGTTAAATTTTATCTTCAGAGCATTCTAGGGAATAGGCTGGTTCAATAGTGTCATGTGATGTAGACAAATCAGGAGAGTGAAGCCTAGGCAAACTAATGAAGGTGTTTGGCAAACATTTGAGAAAGCCTCCTCTAAACCAACTCCAAATGCCAATATGCCAAATTATACCCACTTTAATTCTTGCATTCTCCTCATTCTTATTCTGAAATATATCAGGAATTTTGTCACTTCTAATTTACAAGCTTCCCTTGGGGTTAGATGATCTCTGAGGCCATTTAACTTACAATTCTTCTACACTGTTAATTTGATATGCTTAATACATACACACTTGGTGTCTAGACTTTCAGTCCACATTAAAGTATGGGCTTTTATTTTTGTTTTTCTTTCATTTTTAAATTATTACATTTTGATGCTGATGTTGCTGACACTTCTGTTCATTATTTGAAAGTTTTGGGCCAATGCTCTTTAGATTTTATGTAATTTGAGATGCTTTCAAAACAGTGGAAGGCCTCCTGTTCTTTCTGAATCTCTCAGGAAAATGCATTGTTTATAATACAGAATAATGTCAAATAGTAAAA